TTAATTAATACACAGTTACAGTTTGACAGAAAATAATGATAAGAGTAAATGAGCTGGTGCATATTATCAGAATAATAAAAATGAGATAAGGTTACCGTAAATAAGAATGATTCAGGAATGAGCACGTGGTTCGGTCTGTGAACTTGTATTTTTATACGTGTAAAAAAGGTAAATTGAAGAAGAAAGATAAATGGAAACAATTTTGATAACATAAAACATTTAGCTTGACAAATAAAGGATTTTGCATGGACAAGAAGAGATTGTTATGTAATCCTGAAACAAGCAAGAGTATAGTTAAACAGCAGTCATTCTATGATTTCTAGGAATGATAAGTTGCTGAACAAAAGACAGCAGCAATACTATGATTTCTTAAAATCATAAATGGCTCAAAAAAAGCATAAATGAGCAGTTTAGGTCCAAAGTAGCAATCCTAAGTTTCAAAACAAAATGTGGAACATGAGAACTTAGTTCAATTTCGGACAACAAGAGATCATTATGTAATTCTGAAACAAGGAACAACATAGTTAAGTAGTAGTCATTTTATGATTTCTGGGAATCATAAGTTGTTGAACAAAAGACAACAGCAACACCATGATTTCTTAAAGTCATATGAACTGTATTTGGTTGACTGGATGTCGTTGGAGTGAATCTCCTCGACTTATAATTGAACTGTCTGCATGTCGCTGGAGTGAACCTCCACGACTTATGTGTATACTCATGGGGACGTTCTCGTCCTCTCTTTCTTTTAACTAAGCCCTGAGCGGTCAGAATCATAAACAAAGTATAAGTTGATTGGAGCGATGTCTCATCGATCACTAAGCGATAGTATGTACCACACCGATTCAGATGGGAGGTACCTCTCATGTCGATTCAAAATCATAAACAAAGTATAAGTCGATTCGAGCGATGTCTCATCGACCACTGAATAGTATGTACCACACAGATTCGGGTGGGAGGTACCTCTCATGTCGATTCAGAACCATAAACATATAATCGATTCCCTGAGCGATAGCATGTACCACACCGATTCGGGTGAGAGGTACCTCTCGTGTCGATTCAGAACCATAAATGGAGTAAGTGAAGTTCTACGGATTTAATTACCTACCCGGGTGACGGAGTGTCATCACGAGGAGGTATTTGATTGAACTTTGGCAAAGCAAGTGGAAATTAGCTCTTGAGAGCTCCTGTATCCTACTCAAGTGTATTTAATTGTTAATCGTGAATTATTTGAATTTTATAGCTTTATTTATTGTACAAATGTTATTGTTATTTGAACTATTCGCTTGCATGTCTTTCTTGCCCTCACTGACGTCAACTCACCCTATTCTATTTGTTACTCCTTATGTGACAGCCCCACCTTCCCCTAAGGCGAACCAAAGGTTTCGGCGGACCGCCTGCCCAACTCTCGCCGGAACTCACTCACTCACTACAGTTCTCAATTAAAATACAATGCACATCTCAAATATTACATCAAACTCCTCCATGAATACATATCACAAGCGTGGAACGTATACATACACTCGTTTCAATTCCAAACTTTCATACAAATCCAATTATTACATAAGATGAATCTAAAACTCAAACTATACAGGAGATAATCCATCCAGTAACTTATGACAAGCGCTTCTTTTACCTCGAGCCCTGTGGGGAGAAAATATGTTTGGGGTGAGGTAGAATCTCAGCGAGTGTCCAGTAAAAATCAGTAATCAACCAGTTTCACAATAATGCATTGAAATGATATCATGAATCCATGATCAAATGTATGTTTATTGCTCTCGTGAGTCAGTGAAATCACCATACTTAAACCCCAACGCTCAAACAGATTCAGTAAGTTAAACAGTACAAGGGAGCCATCGGTGCTCTTAAAAAACAATGAAGAGATGTTGGTTCTAAGCACAAGATTTCTCAAGAACTCAATGGAGCCAAATCATGTCATGGCACACACACAAACACAAATGATATGCAATCGAGTAACCAATGCAAGAAATAGTTCAAAAGTAAATTTGCAAATAGTTGTGAGATCACTCACCAGCCACGACTTATGAATCTCATCCATCATATATCATTGCCTTGCTCAAGTCCAAATCCTATATCACAATTATCATGTCAAACAAAAGGAATGCTAAAAGAATCAAGTTCATATCACCTTTTGGCATTTTAATCACAATTGAAGCTACACATATCCAATTGAATCGAATCTTATGGCATTACGAAACTATGACATATACCAACATTTTTTATGAATACCTTCAAAGCTAAATTATACATTTTCATGGTCAAAAATCGAAATCTTAGAGAGAAATGGAAACTGTCCGTGAAACAGGGTTTAAGGGCAATTAAGGGTATTTCGGTCATATCACAAGTTACAGTACTCCAATCGATCTGAAAATTTTCAGGTAGATAGCTAACTCATATATCTACAACTTTCATGTTTTGTCCAAAAATTGGTTCAATTTAAAACATGGAGAAATGTGTAGTCCAATTTGAATCCAGAAACAAGGTAAAAACTGAAATTATCCTTCTAAACTAACCTTTGCATATAACCACAATTATACATACGAATCATAAGATATATCACACATCTAATTAGGCCACAATGCCCCTTCAATTTGAGCCAATTTATAGTTCCAAAAGCAATCACATTTAAGCCCCAAATTCGAAACCCTATAACTGAAATTAACCCCACAAGCAGAAATTTTCCTTAAGAAATCACATCTAACATATACAAGTTTCATTTCACACATCATTAAGCCATCCATCCATGGCATATGCTTAAGCATCAAATAAAGATAGAAAATTTACCAAAAATTCTGAAATAGATCAAACTCTACTTTAATCTATGAAATCTTCCATAAAACAACATATTCAACATATCTAATCCACCAATTAACAATTACTTGCAATAGAGAGGAAGTTCTTGACAAGAGTACCTTCAAACCCCAAGAAAAGTTGGTAGCTTAACTCCTTTACCAAAATCACTCCACCATCTTTTTCTATCTTCGTTAGCAAAGGACTTTTATGGAGCAAATTGAGATTTTAATGGTTGGAACACAAGATTGAGGCAAAAAATTGAGGTTGCAAGATGAAATTTTTCTCTCCTTTCTCTCTCAAAGGTTTCGGTCAGTTTGAAGAAGAAAGAATAGTGGGTTTTGAACCCCAAATATGGTCAAAAGATGAAAACTTAATCATTAAGAAAATTGTATGACAGCAGAATCCGGCCAAAATCTGGTTGGATATCCGGCCGGATTTAAGGTAGTAGGTTTTCAAATTTTTTTTCAAAATGCTCAGCCAATCCGGCCAAGAATCCGGCCGAGAACTAGTTGGATTTCCGCCAGATTCTCACTGTTCACCAGAATATTTTCTTTCTTCGTCTTTCGGGGCTTCACAAACTCCCCCTCTTGAAAGAATGTCGTTCTCGACATTCCAACTCGTACTAAACAGATCCAAATAGTCCTCGAAAGTCAGTCAAGTACTAAGAATCACTCCAATCCCACTTATCACTTGGTAATGGCCAACAAATAGCTAAACAGGTAACCAATGAGAACATGCAAAAGGACTCGGTTCAATCAACTAACCTTGAATTGGAAATAAAGTCCCAGATATTTGAAAGAAATTCAGGACATAGCGTAGCCTCAAATTGAAAATTTTACCCCTGGTGCTGCTGGACAACACAACAAGTTAGCACAACGGCTATATTTCACCAAAGAGTCTCAGGAATTTGTCCCTGTGGTGCTGGATAACACAACAAGTTAGCACAACGGCTGTACTTCACCAACGAGTCTCAGGAATTTGTCCCTGGTGGTGCCAAACAACACAACAAGCTAGTTTCGCCAGAAAATGGCGGTACTTGATAACACAATAGGCAATGCCCCACCAGAGAGGCTCAATTCAAAAGTTCATCCATGGCGGTGCTTGATAACACAACAGGCGTGCCTCGTCAGAAGAATGACGGTGCTTGAGAACACAACAGATAATGCCTTGCCAAAAGGGTTCAGTTCAACCGCTACAGAAGAGTAATAGCCGGTCTACAACCACACATAAAAGCATACAAGTTCAAAAGCAGGGTCAATTACTTCAAGTTCAAGGAGCATGAGTACGAATAAGAACTCACTCGCCTAACCTATGCCCAGCAATTCACATTCTCAAATAGTCACAAAATTCAAGTCCATATAGAGGTCATATACGAATCAAACTACTTGCTCATGCGTAAATGAAATACTATATATTCAGTCAAATCGGGTCATTAAGTATACGTAAGAGCACACTCGTCTAAACAGGCTCAAGTCTCAAGTGCTCAGCTTAGTCGATTTCAGGCAATTCAAGTAGTTCAAATCCTAACACTTACAAATCGAGTGGTGCAAACTTTAATCAAACAAGCAGACTAGAAGAAGGATGCAAAAACCAGAAGTTTTCTCAATAATTCCGCCACCACCACAATCTATCAAAACTCTAGCCAAAATCTTATTGGACAAGTTCTTGATAACATTCATCATTTCAATCTCCTCATTCGGTTACATTCCAAGGCAAGTACAAGAATCTTTTGTACTCTGACCTTTACCATTATAATTTGTCTCAAACTCACTTATGATTTCTATTCACATCATCATACACTAGACCATGTTCCTTCTAAATTCACAAGCATTTCCTCCGGAAAAGTATCGAGTGCTCAAGTACAAGAATCCAAAACTAAGAAACTTTACCACTCAGGCCGTACGCTAGAACCAGAGTCGGTTGATGTACGGTTGGAAGCAACCAAATCATATCTTACGCTTACCCCTTTCAAACCAATCCCACAATTCGGTATCCTAAACTTTACCCAAGGATACACTATAGAGATCCGAAATCTAAGCTCTGATACCAACTGTGATAGCTCCACCTCCCCCTAAAGCGAACCAAAGGGTTCGGCTGACCGCCTGTCCAACTCTCTTTGGGACTCACTTATTCACTACAGTCCTTAATTAAAATACAATGCACATCTCAAATATTACATCAAACTCCTCCATGACTAAGTATCACAAGCGTGGAATGTACACATACACTTGTTTCAATTCCAAACTTTCATACAAATCTAACTATTACACAAGATGAATGTAAAACTTAAACTATACAGGAGATAATCCATCCAGTCACACGGAGAACTTAAGACAAGCGCTTCCTTTATCTCGAGTCCTGTGAGGAGAAAATATGTTTGGGGTGAGGTAGAAGTTCAGCGAGTGTCCAGTGAAAATCAATAATCAATCAGTTTCACAATAACGCATTGAAATGATATCATGAATCCATGATCAAATGTATGTATATTGTTCTCGTGAGCCAGTGAAATCACCATACTTAAACCCCAACGCTCAAACAGATCCAGTAAGTTATACAGTACAAAAGAGCCATCGATGCTCTAAATAAACAATGGAGAGACGTTGGTTCTAAGTACAAGATTTTCCAAGAACTCAATGGAACCAAATCATATCATGGCACCAATGACGGAGCCAGGAATTTTTTTTTGGGGGGCCAAAATTTTTTCCTAATAAAATTACCTTAATATATTATGTTCAAAATAATTTTCTTCTATTTAAATATATGACATCTAAAAATATCAAATATTAAATTTAATTATAAAGGTATATCTATTCATAAATATGCGGTACAGTCATAAAAAAAACTAACAAAAAAAATAACTTTTGATTAAATATCTTATAACATCACAAACCATCCAATTTACACATTATGAGAAGATGCTCTCCAATATGTCACCTGTGCAATATATATATATATATATATATATATATATATATATATATATATATATAACCATGTAATATAAATGTAACTATTTTCAATTGAAAAAATATAAAAGTTATGTTAACATACTTTGAAATTTCAACATCTTTTCTTAGAAGTAAATTGAGTTCTACGCTCTTTCATAGAACTAAATTCATCTATGATTGAATCACTGCTAAATTTTTCAGCAACTTCGTTTTCTATATACACAGTTAGACAATCATTCAAAAAATTATCTTTCATCTTGTTTCAGAGTTTTGTCTTGATTATTTTTATAATTGAAAATGTCTGCTCTGTAGTTGCAGTTGATATAGAAAGAGTAAGAACAAGTCTAATCAATCTGTCAATAAAAGGATATATCACTGATTTTCTTATCTTCACCAAGCCTTGACATAACTCATGAATACCAGATAATTCTTGCAATTCAGGATAATTTGGAATACCGAGCTCAAAATGTTGAAGTTCTATTCTTAGACATACTAGTTCTTGCTCCATAAAATCATTCGGATAGAACTTTTCTGCAAGTTTACAAATATAATCAATCTTAAACAGCATAAATCCATTTCTAAGATCTAAAGCAGTGCTCAAAACAAGCAATTCCACGGTATGATTATTAAACCTGCTATGTAACTCTTGCAATTGATAATCAATTGTTGCAAGAAATATATCCACTCGATGACTAATTCATATATATATATATATATCAACTCTCATAATATAAACTAAAATTGTAAAAATTTAGGGGGGACCAATTTTATTTTACACATATATTTACATATTATGAATTAAAATTTTCAAAACTTAAGGGGGGTCATGGCCCCCCTCTGGCCCCCCTTGGCTCCATCATTGCATGGCACACACACAAACACAAATGATATGCAATTAAGCAACCAATGCAAGAAATAGTTCAAAAGTAAATTTGCAAATAGTTGTGGGATCACTCACCAACCATGACTCATGAACCTCATCCATCATATATCATTGCCTTGCTCAAGTCCAAACCCTAGATCACAATTATCATGTCAAACAAAAGGAATGCTAAAAGAATCAAGTTCCTATCATCTTTTGGCATTTTAATCACAATTGAAGCTACACTTATCCAATTGAAACGAATCTTATGGCATTACGAAGCTAAGACATATACCAACATTTCTTATGAATACCTTCAAAGCTAAATTATACATTTTCATGGTCAAAAATCGAAATCTTAGAGAAAAATGGAAACTGTCTGTGAAACAGGAATTAAGGGCAGTTAAGGGTATTTCGGTCATATCACAAGATACAGTACTCCAATCGATCTGAAATTTTTCAAGTAGATAGCTAACTCATATATCTATAACTTTCATGTTTTATCCAAAAGCTGGTTCGGTTTAAAACATGGAGAAATGTGCAGTCCAAGTTGAATCCAGAAACAAGGTAAAAACTGAAATTATCCTTCTAAACTAACCTTTGCATATAACCACAATTACACATACAAATCATAAGATATACCACACATCTAATTAGACCATAATACCCCTTCAATTTGAGCTAATTGATAGCTCCAAAATCAATCACATTTAAGCCCTAAATTCGAAACCCTAGAACTGAAATTAACCCCACAAGCGAAAATTTTCCTTAGGAAATCACATCTAGCATATACAAGCTTCATTTCACACATCATTAAGCCATCAATGCATGGCATATGCTTAAGCATCAAATAAAGATAGAAAATTCACCAAAAATTCTGAAATATATCAAACTCTACTTTAATCCATGAAATCTTCCATAAAACAACATATTCAACATCTCTAATCCACCTATTAACAATTACTTGCAGTAGAGAGGAAGTTCTTGACAAATTACCTTCAAACCCCAAGAAAAGTTGGTAGCTTAACTTCCCTTACCAAAACCACTCCACCACCTTCTTCCATCTTCCTTAGCAAAGGACTTTTATGGAGTAAATTGAGGTTTTAATGGTTGGAACACAAGATTGAGGTAAGAAATTGAGGTTGCAAGATGAAGTTTTTCTCTCTTTTCTCTCTCAAAGGTTTCGGTCAGTTTGAAAAAGAAAGAAAAGTGGGTTTTGAACCCCAAATATGGTCAAAAGATGAAAACTTAATCATTAAGAAAACTATACGACAGCAGAATCCGATTGTCGGCCGGATTCAAGGCAGTACGTTTCCAAATTTTTTTTCAAAATGCTCAGCCAATCCGGCTGAGAATTGGCCGGATTTCTAGCAAGATTCTCACTGTTCACCAGAATGTTTTCTTTCTTCGTCTTTCGGGGCTTCACACCTTATCAGGAAAGTGACGTGAATGAAGCTATTGGAAGATACTAATGAAGGCTTGTCTTTTGTGTAGTTTGATATGTTGTAACTGATCTTTGAGAAAATTGTGAGATTTGGAACTCGATATAGTTGATTGAGATTTATATCTACGGATGTACTTGTGCAATGAAATATTATAATCATGTTATTATTTTGACATATTTAGATGAAATCATTGGAATTGATCTGTCTTTTATTTGAGGATTGAAGTAAGTTCCGGCGAGAGTTGGGTAGGCGGTCCGCTGAACCCTTCGATTCGCCTTACGGAGAGGTGGGGGCGTCACAAGGTAGCCTATCTTGTTATATTCTTTCTTTCTAATTTAGTTTAGTTTTATCCTATTTCTCTTTCTTGAATTTTTATGCTACAAATGTTTTCTTTATTACCTTCAGGTAATTAGCAGTAATATAAGGTAAGGGCTAGTAGTTAGAATCATATGAAGTAATGCCTGCACCGCAACATAATTCACTTTCTGCCCTTACAGAACTCATAGACAGGGATAAATGAGAGAGTTCTAACACAAACTAATTTCCTGCCAAACGCCCTATGTCTCAGTGATTAAGGTATCAATTATGAACCAAAAATCCTTTGAATCAGGCCTCCCTTGTCATCTTCATGGCCAATTATATCATTTCTGAACCACAAAAAAAAAAGAGAAAACTTTTAGACCTTGAATGACAGTTTCAAAAGATGAATGAGCCTAGAACTAGTAACAACTACATTGAATTGAGATAATATTATTGTTTTTAGAAAAAATATAAGATATGATTTACAAAAAGAAAAAAAAAAAGATTTGGCTCCCAAAAGAGTTGGCTAGCTCGAAAGTGACAAAAGGGATCACCAAGATGAGTTGGTTCCTCTTCCTCACATTAAGCTGTTTGGTGTGAGTGGCATCCACTGGACATGCAATAGAGGTCCACTCGATTATAGCTTATCTTTTATATTATTGCACGGCAGAAGAAACAAAAAGGAGTGGTAGCCTTAGTTTCCTGTCAAAAGTTTGCTTAGTGCTAAAGTACAGCTTCGATCCTGGTTGATCTTAATTTTCTTTGTTAAAGTTTTACTGATAATGCTATAATCTTTAATATCGCGCTAGTGTGTTTGTGTAACGAATCTGCAATTCCGCTTTGATGCAAAATTTCTGGGTGCTTACAATTTTGATGTGAAGAACTACTTGGCATCAGTATTTTGCCATATTCTTCCCTTGAAACTCATCAAAATCTGTGGATTCTAGGATGGAAACACTGGGAATGCTATTCAGTTTGCAGGGGCTACGCAAAAGAATGCTTTGATGCTGCAAAAATTGGTCATTGATGCTCCAAAAGAGCACCCAACCTTTACTACTATTCTAGATTCCTTGTTTTCTTTTAATGTAATTAAATACCTGAGAATGTCCAAAATTGCAGGAGTTGTACTTTGTAAAACTACCTTTTTTTAAAAAATGGAAAGAGACATTGAATCACCTGCGTTCTGCTAATGCTATATATTCAATCTACAAGACCCCTTTTCAATTTTCAACTATATGAAACTCAATAAATTGTGGTAATTACGAATTTGCTCGACATATGTTGCAGATTTTTCTAATAAGTACTAAAGTTCATAATAAATTAGACAGAAATTTTGCAGTTCCTTAAAATTCATCAATATTTATGTTTGTGCTAGTGCTCTTGCAAAATTGTATGCACAACTTTTTCCATCTTTTTCTAGCATTGTCCGCATAATTGACAACTAAAAGTGGGATTGTTAAAAACTTGCACGGCTAAATTGTCGCATGAGTTAGCACATTCGAGAGCCATGTTTGAGACTTCAATTGAAATGGTTAGAAAATTGCCCACATATTTATTTTTTGTGACCATTATTCTTATTTTATTCACTAAATATATATATCACAAAGGACTTACAGTAGTACAAATGTAATACAAAGTAGCAAAGTAACAATTGATACGCTAGAATTCACTCTTTTTGGTCGAACACGACAGATATTAATAACAAATAAAAAGATTCAGCCTTATGACTTTGAGTCGTAGCCGAATCTTCAACTACGGAAAAGAAACAATAGAAAGCAGAAAAGAAAAAAAAAAAGAAAGAAAGTGAAGTCATCATCAAAAGCATATTCAGCATTAAAAAAAAACAGAAGAGAATTAAAAATATAATAATAATTATTATTAAAACAAAGAGAGTTTTAGGATCCTTGTTGCACATATACTCCTCAATTTTTCAAAAAAAATGTAAGCATGCCCAAGGTGGTGAGGAATTGTAGAGCTAAAAATGCTAGTCATGTCTAAAATTGAATACAAATGAAAACATAAATAAGTATAAAACAGCACAAGAAAAGCTAAAAAAAATTAGAGAAAATCAAAAGCAGGTACCTGTTTTCCATTCTGATCAATTATTAAAGCCATCTCGCCATGTAAATCTAACTGACAGCATAGGTGACATAAGTCTAGGCGATGTTGTGACAACAATGGCGACTCTCTACTTCTTTGGGATTTGGAAAGACGAAAATTTTCTTTATTTTTGAGTTTTGTTGTACTTTATTTGTTTAATTCTTTTTTTTTCTCTATTTCATTAATTTCTCATTTTCGAAAATTCATCAAATTAGGATATGGTGGGGATTTTTTTCACATGGATAAGTTTTGTTGGGGTCTAAAGTAAAATATAACCCAAGCAAACCGGAGATGGCAATTCGCATCGACGTCTCAGGTCCCCAGTACATATATAAGCGGCAGGAAGCCTTTGAAAAACGCAGCGGCACCAAACTCAAGTGCCAAAATTCACTGCTCCACTCCTACTCCTACTCCTACTCCTGCTCTGCTAGCGTCATACTTTCTTTGCCCTCCTCTACACGAAAAAAGCTTTTTGGGTCGGATTATTCGTAAATTTCTCGTCCTCCTGAACACTAAGTCCTTGAGGTAAATTGAAGTAATTCTTCTATTTTTCTCATTGTAACTTAGATAATTTTTTTGGGTTAATTTCTCTGATTTCTCATATTTTCTTGTAAAAATTGATTTATCTTAATTTATTTTTCTTTCTAATTCAAAATTCATCAGAAGGTAGACTTTAATCCGAATTTTCAATCCTTAGGTTAAATGGTGGTATTGAAAGCAGATTATTACTTATGATTTGGGATTTCCGTTGGCTATTTTTTATGATTAATTTAGATTGCTACTGAGGACTTGAACAATTGGCAGGTATACTATCTTGTTATATTCTTTCTTTCTAATTTAGTTTAGTTTTATCCTATTTCTCTTTCTTGAATTTTTATTCTATAAATGTTTTCTTGATTACCTTCGGGTAATTAGTAGTAATATAAGGTAAGGGCTAGTTGTTAGAATCATATGAAGTAATGCCTGTACCGCAACATAATTCACTTTCTGCCCTTACAGAACTCATAGACAGGGATAAATGAGAAAGTCCTAACACAAACTAATTTCCTACCAAATGCCCTATGTCTCAGTAATTAAGGTATCAATCATGAACCAAAAATCCTTGGAATCAGTCCTCCCTTGTCATCTTCATGGCCAATCATTTCATTTCTGAACCTCAAAAAAAATGAACGAACTTTTAGATCTTGAATGACAGTTTCCAAAAGATGAATAAGCCCAGAACCAGTACCGACTGCATTGAACTGAGATAATATTATTATTATTATTAGAAAAAATATAAGATCTGATTTAAAAAAAGAAAAAAAATAGTTGGTTCCCAAAAGATTTGGCTGGCTCGAAGGTGACAAAGGGGATCTCCAAGACGAGTTGGTTCCTCTTCCTCACATTAAGCTGTTTGGTGTGAGTGACATCCACTGGACATGCAATAGAGGTCTACTCGATTATAACTTGTCTTTTATATTATTGCACAGTAGAAGAAACAAAAAGGAGTGGTAGCCTTAGTTTCCTATCAAAAGTTTGCTTAGTGCTAAAGTACAGCTTCGATCCCGATTGATCTTAATTTTCTTTGTTAAAGTTTTACTGATAATGCTATAATCTTTAATATCGCGCTAGTGTGTCTATGTAACGAATCTGCAATTCCGCTTTGATGCAAAATTTCTGGGTGCTTACGATTTTGATGTGAAGAGCTACTTGGCATCAGCATTTTGCCATATTCTTCCCTTGAAACTCATTAAAATCTATGGATTCTAGGATGGAAACACTGGGAATGCTATTCAGTTTGCAGGGACTATGCTAAAGAATGCTTTGATGCTGCAAAAATTGGTCATTGATGCTCCAAAAGAGCACCCAGCCTTTACTACTATTCTAGATTCCTTGTTTTCTTTTAATGTAATTAAATACTTGAGAATGTCAAAAATTGCAGGAGTTGTACTTTGTAAAACTACCTTTTTTTAAAAAATGGAAAGAGACATTGAATCACCTGCGTTCTGCTAATGCTATATATTCAATCTACAAGACCCCTTTTCAATTCTCAACTATATGAAACTCAATAAATTGTGGTAATTACAAATTTGCTCGACATATGTTGCAGATTTTTCTAATAAGTACTGAAGTTCATAATAAATCAGACAGAAATTTTGCAGTTCCTTAAAATTCATCAATATTTATGTATGTGCTAGTGCTTTTGCAAAATTGTATGCACAACTTTTTCCATTTTTTCTAGCGTTGTCCGCATTATTGACAACTAAAAGTGAGATTATTAAAAACTTGCACGGCTAAATTGTCGCATGGGTTAGCACATTCGAGAACCATGTTTGAGACTTCAATTGAAATGGTTAGAAAATTGCCCACATATTTATTTTTTGTGACCATTATTCTTATTTTATTCA